ACGTCCATCATAACCTCTCCAGTGGCAACATATAAGTTTTGTATTGATATTTTGGTCAAAGTTTTGACCTAGAAACTCAAGAAAACTTATGGGGTGTAATGTGTAATTACGGGGGCTAGGGGGTCGTGAGCAGACGAAGCCAGGGTGAGATTAGGGGGGTTTAATTTTGAAAATACGGCAAAGTTTTCATGACATTGTCTTACAATGTCATGGGATAACCCGAGAGCGCTCAAGTGTCTCGTTCGTAAAATTGACGGTTCCTACCCCGATAAACCCTCCTCACCCCGCCCTGATCCAAACACACCCCACACCCCTTCAATTGCACCCCACAAGTTGATTTTGACTTTGGAGTCAAATCTTGACTCCAAAATCAAAATCAACTTGTGGGGTGCAATTGAAGAGGTGGGAGTGTGTTCGGGTCGGGTGGGGGGTTTACCGGGGGGTTGGGGGTAGGATCCATTAATTTTACAAACGGGGCACCGAGAGTCCTCGGGTCATCCCATGACATTGTCGGGCAATGTCATGGGAACCTTGCCGTGAAGAGTATGTACCATTAATTATACGAATAGAGTATTATAGGTGACCCAATTTAACTGATGTCACGATCTGACACCACTTGAAGTGGTATAAGATTATATTTTCAAAACACTTGTCCGTTTGGTGAGTTCTATAAGTATGATATTGTATGAGTATTGAAATTTGCAAGAAATAGTATAATTTATGAAATATGAAAAAAAAATTATTTAAAGAGATTTGAAATCATGATTTAATTAGTTATAAGCGAGAGTGGCTAGCAACATGGTTGTTGGCGGTGAAAGTGGTAGCCAGGGGGTCGACGGTTGAAAAAAGATATAAAACCCGCATATTGATATCTTCCAAATTCGAAGGATAGCAGAACACTCTATTTTGGAAGGTTTGTGGTACCTGAAGACATCAAATTCAATTTTTTTATGCTTAATCAAACACCAAAAAAAGTTTTGATATCAGAACCAGTATCTCCTGTACTCACCAAACGAACGAGTAAATTAAACTCTAAAACTAATGCCAAACAAACTAGCTATCACTGTTGATAGTGAATTGCAAAAATAACTAGTTGATAATACTCCCTCCATCTCGCAAAAAAAAGTTTTACATTATTATTCACACATTCAAATCATATTTTCTTTCATTACATATTTTAGTTGATCATTTGATAGAATAAAATATTTATGTCACCCCTTATTTTATACTAGTAGAACATTTCATGTGGTAGTTAAATGTATACAAATAATTTAATTTTTATATAAATTGAATTAATACTAACTACAATCAAATACTATTATACACCAAAAATGGAATATCTTTATGGGTAGGGGTGGAAGTATATGACACTTAAAAAAACATTAATAGGTGAAATGATGGAAGAGGAAGTTCTTTTATCTATTCCCAGCTTGGCCAACTTGGACCAACTGCATTCCATATAAATGGGGGCGTGCCCATAAAAATCCTTAGCCAGGCATTCAATTCCTCGACCGTTTCTATTTCTTCATATTATTTCTTTTGGCCATTCGGATAAACCAGTAGCTGTTTTTGTCAAGGTGTGTGCATTATGCATGGTTCTAATGCGTATTATCTGGCTCTTAAATGAATATCAAACTCCTTCAAATGACTTGTTGACATTTTAAATTCATTTTTGAAAAAAAATGAGATTTTTTTTTTGACAATGTCTGGTTTGCATTGTGCAGGATTCCTTCCAAGCAGATAGTGAGGAGATCAATGGGGGTGTTGGTGAAATGTGCAAAACCAAAGATGGGATTTGTGCCATTATGGCTGCTGTGCTTCATCGTCGTGTATGGGGTTTCCGAGGGGGCAGAGTACATGAAGTATAGGGACCCCCGGCAGCCTGTGGGTGTAAGAATCAATGACTTGATGAAGAGGATGACCCTTGAGGAGAAGATTGGCCAAATGACTCAGATTGAGAGGAAAGTTGCAACATCTGATGTTATACAGAGACATTTCATAGGTATTCTTATTGTCCTTCCATAACTAGAGGTGCATAGATTCTTCAAAATAATACTTGTGATGTGATGGAGAAGGATTTGATGATGTGCAGGGAGTCTTTTGAGTGGTGGAGGGAGTGTGCCAGCACCCAAGGCCACAGCCGAGGAATGGATTAACATGGTTAACGGCTTTCAAAGAGCGGCTCTCTCCACCCGCCTTGCCATTCCTATGGTTTATGGAATTGATGCCGTTCACGGCAACAATAACGCTTACAAGGCCACCATTTTCCCTCACAACATTGGACTTGGTGCTACCAGGTTTGTGTCTAGCTCAAACTTTTTTTTGAGTGCTATTGACTCGATTACATTGTAGAAACCTAATGACGTACAAAGAGGCAATGCCTCCGCCTCCATTGGGGCTCGAACCTGGGTGAACTTCCCCAATGTTTCTTACCACTCAAGTCAGGAGAGAAGATCAGGAGAGAAGCTAATGGTTCTTGAAACTGTGCATTTTTTGTTTGTTGGCAGGGATCCGGAATTGGTGAAAAGGATTGGAGCTGCAACTGCACTTGAAGTTAGAGCTACTGGAATAAATTATGCTTTTGCTCCCTGCATTGCAGTAGGTGTTATGTTGACATAGAATGCTTCAATACTTTTTGGGTATTTTATGTTTGGGTAATATTTTTTGGACTATCTCTCGTAAGGTATGTAGAGATCCCCGATGGGGCCGTTGTTATGAAAGCTACAGCGAAGATCATGAAATCGTGCAAATGATGACTGAGATCATACCTGGTTTACAAGGAGACCCCCCTGCTAATTCCTCCGGTTTTCCATTCGTTGCAGGAAAGTATGGATCTTGTCCTTCTGCACTTCTTTCCCATTACAATGCCAAGAACTTTAAAGCACTTTCTTGATCACTAAACTGTTCCAAAACGACGCGTTTTATGTTATCAAGGACAAAAGTTTTAGGGTGTGCCAAGCATTTTGTTGGGGATGGGGGTACGGACAAGGGTGTCGACGAGAGCAACACCATAATCGACATGAATGGTTTGCTTAGCATTCACATGCCAGCGTACAACGACTCAATCCGGAAGGGTGTTGCAACTGTTATGGTTTCATACTCAAGCTGGAACGGCGAGAAGATGCACGCTAATCGCGACCTAATAACCGGGTTCCTCAAGAACAAGCTCAAGTTCAAGGTATTTAAGCATGGCAGAATGACAGATAATTCCACTTTTCAAAAAAAAAAAATGAAATTATGCAATTTTTTAATGCATTGGCAACTTGTTTCAGGGATTTGTCATTTCAGACTGGGGAGGGCTTGACAGGATCACTACTCCCTCTCATGCTAACTACTCTTACTCTGTTCAAGCTGGAATTCTTGCAGGAATTGACATGGTGAGCTCCAAAAGAATGTGCATGGAAATCTTTTTAGTGTAGGGAAATGCCCAAATCACCCGCCCTTCGACAGAACGAGTGAATACATTTGATCACAAGGTTCTGCTTTTAAATTTGTGCGGAATGCAGGTAATGGTGCCGTTGGACTATGAAGAGTTCATTGAAGATTTAACTTCCCTGGTGAAGAAGAAGGCCATCCCAATGAGTAGGATTGATGATGCAGTCACAAGAATATTAAGGGTTAAGTTTGTGATGGGCCTCTTTGAGGACCCGATGGTCGATCTCGGCATGGCAACCCATCTGGGCAGCCAGGTATATTCATTCTCCTTTTACTTCAATGCCATTGTATATTGGGATATCTTCAATTCCATATGATCCATTTTTGTATGATTTTTTTTGGGCAGGAACACAGAGAGCTGGCTAGGGAAGCTGTGAGGAAATCCCTTGTGCTTCTAAAGAATGGCAAATTGGCTAACCAGCCATTGTTGCCCCTTCCTAAGAAAGCCCCAAAGATCCTTGTGGCTGGGACCCACGCTCACAATCTTGGGTATCAATGTGGAGGCTGGACCATTGAATGGCAGGGCATTGGCGGCAATGATCTTACACATGGTATGCCCTTCTACTCTAGTGTTTCTTTTCGTTCCTTCATTCAAACTGCCAAAGGTGTTTGTTAAAATTACCCAATGAGAAAAATCGCAGGAACCACCATTTTATCTGCCGTGAAGAACGCCGTCGATCCATCTACAGAAGTGGTCTATCAAGAAAACCCGGAATCTGAGTTCCTCGAATCCAACCAATTCTCGTACGCCATTGTTGTTGTGGGTGAGACCCCGTACACGGAGTTTCTGGGGGACAGCACGAACCTCACCGTGGCCGAACCTGGAGGAAGCGTCATCGATACTGTCTGCGCCGCCGTCAAATGCGTCGTGGTCGTGGTCTCCGGCCGGCCTGTGGTGATGGAGCCGTATGTGGCGAAGATTGATGCGCTTGTTGCAGCTTGGCTGCCGGGAAGTGAAGGGCAGGGCGTGGCCGATGCCCTGTTTGGGGATTACGGATTCGCCGGAAAACTTGCCCGGACATGGTTCAGGTCAGTCGATCAGCTTCCGATGAACGTCGGCGACCCTAATTATGATCCTCTCTTCCCGTTTGGGTTTGGCCTAACAACTGAACCCGTGACGATGATTCAAGAACCATCAGGATGGTTTTCAGCCATAAGACTTCCGTCCATTTGATTTGGCTAAGGAGTAATTTAATTGGTCCTGATTTATTTCGAATATGTATCACAAGAAATAATTGTTTATGATGGGTTGTGTTAGTCTCATCTCATTTTGTGTCATATTTTGTACCTTAAAGATTTGTCCTTATACAAAATGCAAGTGCAACATTGACATAATATTAATTTTGCACTTATATTTAATGTCAAGATAAATACTTAAGGTTGGTTAGGGACCAAATGAGTACAAATGTGGGGTACAAATAAAATTTTTCTTGTTTTGGATGGGTTCTGTTCGATTATGGTTTAATTGGATTGTTTTACTTCCTCCCCTAATTTTCTTTCTTTCTATTTAAAAGAACGTACAAAATTTGTCTTTTTTTAAAATTAACTTATTTACAAATTGTATGTCAATAAAAATATAAATAAATTTCGTTATTTAAAACAATATCTAAATTGGAAATCACGATCTTCTTCGATTGTGTCCACTTTTGAACGTCATTTGGGTGATAAGCTCTGAAGCATCTTCCTCACAAGTTCTTGGTCGGTGTAAGTCTTCCCGAGAAGGTTTAGAGGATTGATGATGTTAGAGAATCTCTCAAATATATCCTTTATCTTCTCATTTTCCTTCATCGAGAAGAGCTCGTACTCGTGGGTGAGTTGGTCAATCTTCGCTTCTCTAACTTGAGTGGTTCCTTTGTATGTGACCTCTAATTTCTCCCACATTTGTTTTGCTGTTTCACACCGCAATATCTTGCGGTAGTCATCCGCATTAACGTCACAGTAAATCATGTTTATTGCCTTGACGTTGAGCTCCATCTTCTTGCAATCTTCGTCGGTGTATTCGTCTTCAATTTTAGGAAAGTCAACTTCTCCGACTTTCTTCATAGGAACCTTGCAGCCATTCTTCACAATCAACCACAACTTATAGTCGTGGATTGAATGAATATTCTCATTCTTTCATTCCAATAAGAGTAGTTTGTTCCATCATATCGAATAATGGTGGCCTCGTGGTGGATTGTCCCTCATTAACTCCTGCATTGAACATTCTAGAAGCCATTGAATCTTTGAGTTCCTAAAAAATTAGATGTATTCGAAGAATTTCCTGCTCCGATACCAATTGTTAGACAAAACGTGCAACTCTAGGGGGGTGAATAGAGTTGTTTACTAGAATGAACGTTTTTTCGCGTGTGCGTATAAACGAAATAAAAACCACATGAAATATGTAAATTTTATGTTTATTTTTATTATAATTTCTATTATAAGCTTTATAAGTCTTATCGTATGTGTAACAGTTAGTTTGTTTTATTTAGTGACATTGTGTGTGCATGCTAATTTGATTTCAAAAGTACAAACGTTCTCCGTGGTGTTAGACAAAACGTACAACTCTAGAACGGGGTGAATAGAGTTGTTTACTAGAATGAGCGATTTTCACGTGTGTGTAAACGAAATAAAAATCACAGAAAATATGTAAAGAATAAGGGAAAGAAGAACACCGCGATATATATTGGTTCACTACCTCGTGGCTAGTCCAGTCATCTGAGAGACTCTCTCAAAGATCTTACTAAACTTCAAGCTTCAATGAGTGTTTGAAAAAACGATTACAACTTGAGAACTTGAATCTCACAAGCCTCGGCTTCTTAAAAAAAGACTTGAATCACACAAGTCTTAGAACTCACAAACTCAAAGAAAGTTGAGTTTAACAACTCAAGAATGAAGGCTCGCATAATTGAGCAAGTAGTGTTTAAAATGTAAAGCTCTATGGATGACAATATCTTTTGCACTCAAACAAAAATATTTCTAACTCTCAAAATAATATTTTGATGAAGAAGATTGAAGCAAGAGTTGAATATAAGAGAAGGTTCGAATAGAATGCTTGAATTGTAATTGAAATGAAGGAGGATGACGGATTTTATAGGGTGGAAGAGAATAAATACATTGGGAAGAAGAGAAGAAATTGTGAAATGCACCAGACAAAAATAATCGACTAAGATGAGCTAGAAAAAATCGATTAGGACCTTCTGTCTGAAAATCCTTCTGCAAAAGAAAACACTGATCGATTAAACCAAATGGGTAAAAATCGATTAATTTGTTCTGTACGAAAATCCTTCTCACTAGCCAAATGGTTAATTGATTAATTTAGTAGGGATTAATTGATTTTCATTCTGAGGTGAATGAACCTCCAACGGATCAAAGATATTAATCGATTAATAAAATGATAATAATCGATCAGTAGCAAAATATGCGCAAGCACAAAGGGCCCAATCCAGTTGCAAGCTGAGAAGGCAATTTGGCATAAATGTTTTGTATAAGACATTGAAATTAAGGGGAGAGGCTCCCAATCTCATCAAGAATAATTCAAATTAAATTTGGAATTATGAAGGTGAATATTTGGTGAAGAAATTGAGTCCCTAAAATATTTTGTGTGTCAAACGATGCACAAGAAAAATATTTAAAAGTATATTTTTCTTAACCACAAAAAAATTTGTATATCTAAAAAATTATTTTAAAGAAATTTGACACACATTTTTGTAACTGACCCAATAAATTATTTTTAGACAGAGAAAATTTGATTTTTCAACTTACTCAAAAAATAATGATTTATCCCTCAAAAATTAATCTGTTTAAGTGAAAAATATTTGTCAAACTTACAATTATTCCTACGACTAAATAAATTAAGAGTAAAAAGTATTCGGAATCTTCACTTTACTTCAAAAACTCTGCGTAGGGGTGAGTGTTAAAATTGAACGATGTAAAATTCTTGATACGTCTCTTTGCTTTCTCGATTCGTAAATAAATTTTTGTTCGTCGTATCGATTTCATCGTTCCTTTTATCATTTATCAAAAGCTGAAAATAATATTACAGAATATCCAAAAGGGGTTTGAACTCATGTCCAACACGTCGGATCGACCCTTACTTGCCCTAGCTATAGTTTATATTTGACTATATCTTGGGGGTTAGCTAAGGATATCTATATATTATTAATTTGTTTTAGACCGCACGACGGGTCTTCAACAACCCTTTCTCGCCATGCGTGCTCTCAACGACTCTTCAACTCGGGTTAGCTCAGGCCCAATGCCTTGGGCCGGCCCAAGGCCAATACTTGAATATCCCCGGCTCTCAAAATGTTCCAGGGCATGCAGATTGGGTTACCCGGCAGGTAGCGGCCTATCACAATGTTTAATAATATGAATGAATGTACAAGTACATTTAAACTATTGTGAGTGATCAAATAGATGGTGAGAGAAGATGATTCATTTAAACCTTTAAACACTATCTAGGTGCACTAATGGCCCCACCCATTAAATAATTTTTATTTATCAATAATATTATAGTAAATAATTAATTAATGTAATCACTAAATTATTTTATTTATCAATTACTACCTCCGTCTCAGAGTATTTGTCCACTTTCATTTTTACACACCATCCAATGTACTTCTTTAATTCATTTTATCTTGTAATTTGTATATTAAAAAATTATAGAAATTATATATTAATAATCTTTATGTTAAGACAAATCAAACAAGATCACACATGACTATATTTAGGCTTACACATTGAGAGAATTTGATGAGTCAAAGTGCTTAGATGAACAGTTCCAAAAGTCAAATCTGGACGAATACTTCGGGACGGAGGGAGTACTTTTTAATATTTAATTATTCATTTTTTCTATCTTTGAAAGATAAGTTTTGTTTAAAATTTAGTGTTATTTCAGTTATATTAATATATACTCCTCCATTTCTTGAAACATCCCCTCTTTCATTTTTTTTTGTTTTCCCCAAAACACTTCCAATGACATTATACTTTTTCACAAATAATCTATCCATCACATCTTACTTGTTGTAATTTTTTTGTCTAATTTAATTTAATTCTTCTAAATATAAATTTATATAAATTTTAGATATTTAATTTTTTTGTAATTTTTATTCATAAATTATGTTATGAAAAAATTTATATTATTTTATACTCCGTAATATAATATAGAGTATGGTTATTTAAAATTAATACTCCCTTCGTCTCAATTTTGATTACGATTTTATTTTCTCTTTCTTCTCGATAACTTTTTTTTGTGTATTTTTATTGATTATTTGGTAGAATAAAATATTCTTGTCAGCTCTTGTTTTGTACCCGGAATAGAATTTTTTTCTATAATTTTTTACATATAATTTTTATTTCTTATTAATGTACGAATTTGTAATTAAATAGTTTCAAAAATCATGGAATTTTATCTCGAAATTTTTAGTTTGTAATCAAAATAAGGATGGAGGGAGTAAATAATGTAAAGTAAAAGTGGGACCCATAAATAGTTGAATCAATTAATGGATGGATGAGATGGATTGTGAATGCTTGTTAAAAAAATGTTTAAAGATGAATTATGTGGAAATGATGTGAATGAAAGAGAAGGATTGGATGGATGAATTTTTAATTAAGGTATGAAGATGCTCTAAATAGGCAAGCTTGAGCTGACTGATTCATCGGCTCACTCGAATAGGCCCATTTGTGTTCTACCATGCTAAGAGGAAAACCGGTCCGTCTTTCGGCCCAAAGCCTCTAAATGATTCAAGAGAGCAATTAATAAAAATTACATTTGGCCCAATTTATATTCTATATTGGGCCCGATCTCTATCAATACAATAAAATTAGATATTTAAATTAATAATATACCACCTAAAAGATGGATAAAGATGATTTTTTTAATTCAAAGTTAGTTTTCTTATATATTTATTTAAGTAATCATTTAATTGAGTGTTCTTTTAACATTTTTTTTCCAACATTTAACTTGTTCCCGTTTTTCTAACTTTTTCTACTCGTATTTTTTTCAATTGTTTATAGTGACTTTTAACTCCTTTCCATTTCTGGACATCTAGTTTTAGAATTCAACTCAAAAGAAGATCGGCGGGATTCTAGTGATACCGGAGTACGTAAAATTGATGGTTCCTACTCCCCCTAACCCATCCCAAAACCCCCCACCCTACCTCCGCCCCTGCACCCCCACCCCAACCCCGCCATAAGCCCCCACATAATGTGTGGCTATTATGCATTGCATATTAGCCACACATTTTGTGGGGGGCTTACGGCGGGGTTGGGGTGGGGGTGCAGGGGCGGAGGTAGGGTAGGGGGTTTTGGGATGGATTAGGGGGAGTAGGAACCATCAATTTTACGAATAGAGCACCGAAAGTATCCTAAAATGACAGTGACACCGCTAGTGTCACAAAGGTGGGTGGGTGTCACTAAACCCCACCGAAAGAAGATACCTTAAACTGGAGAAACCTGAAAATGTAGTTTGGTGAGGTGCTGTATTGTATGAGTATGAAGATAAGATTGCCAAGCAAGATAGTATGTAGCATGTGGGGACGACGAATTCAAGCGGCGGCTTGTTTTTTTTAGTTAATGTTCCTTTGCCGTGTCTTTTCCGTCTCTCATTCGCGCGCGCGCGCGCGGGGCTTCTTCAATCGATCTTCTTTTTAGGCCTTAGCCACCCAACGCACATCGCTCTCAATTACCCATGGGATGGGATCGGATCGGATCGGAGTAGATAAATAGATAATTACGGTCAAATGGCCGGCGCCTCTCGGATAAAGGCTGACTACTTCATTAATTCCTTACTTCATTTTCATTTTATTTTTTATTTTGCTTATTTGTTGCTAAAGAATGCACATTTCGGTGCGGAAAGTACCCCTTTTATTTTGAAAACATGCTCACTTTAAAGTATTGAATACATTCCCATTCACAATATGCTTACCCAGGCCATTATGGTCATATGCATACATTTTATATTTTAACACATTTCTTCACATCCATGTAAGAATTGTTTTCGCTCCAATATAAAGTTTTAACTTTTAAAATTGGATAATGTTGAATTTGAACTCATGACTTTTTAGTTATCAGCTTTAGCTTTGGTAACATGTCAATAGAACCAATTCAATCTAAAAATAAAAAAACACCAAAATAGAGAAAGTAATGAAATACGAGTTTCATGTGTATTATCCTCAAATAGAAGATATAATGCAATAATTTTAATGTATATCACAAAAACTATGGTGGGGTGCCAATGTGCCACTATACAGTGTCATTTTGTCATCATGCAAATTTTTATTTTGAGGATAAAAAATAATAAGACTCTTGCTTTGAGAATAAAGGCTATGTTTTACTTGTATATGAAATGATTTCACAATAAAAAAACTCAAGCTTCTAGTTATAGGCTCTGGAAAATTTTTATACTCTAACATGCATTCATTTGGGATTGTACCAAATGACATATATACCGGTTTAAATTATCAAGTATATATAGTCTTTGTCTTCGAGTACGCGGTTCCCTATTACTAACTTTGTTTCTACTGAAAAGTTACATGACGGGTATAAGAAATTTCTTGGGGCCGTTGATGTCCACACAATACCAAAATAGAGTAACCTATATGTAATTTCAATATAACTAGTATCAACCTGAGAGTAATTTTCTACTAATTTTTCTCATGAAAAGAAAACTTACAAACTAAATCCATCAAAATTTCATTCTCGCACAAATATAATTAGTGTGGTACTCATCATTCTAAAATAATGTAGTACTAATTTTTAGACATTTGTTCAATATAATTATAACATTCATCTACAAATACTGTAGTGTTCATTCTGGAACAAAACAGTACTTATTCGCAAATAACTTAGTGTTCATTCTCATGCAAAATATCATTCATATCATAAATAATATTTTGGTTGTACCCAAAATTAGGTACAATCCGATGTATAATTTGGCTCAGAATCCTACCAGTACCGTACGCTGAATTTTCGACACGGACTATTATGCCACGACCACTTTGTGTTAAAACTCGACCACAACCCCAAACCAAATTTAATACATAGCCAAGTTGAAAAGGATGGGGGAGGGCCCAATACGATGCCCTGACTATACACATCTTTAGCTCACCTTATTCAAACAATACTTATCTCCCATACCCCCTTGTTTGGATAATCTTTTAGGCAAGAAAGAAAATAAGGTTCGATATTATGGAAAGGAAGGAAAATATATGTAACTCTCTTTTACTTTCTACTCCCTCTGTTTAGGAAAGTCATTTTTATATTTGACTTTGGGCCAAAATAATAAAGTGTTACTTGAATTATGAATTTTCAATTTTATCATTGATATAATGTAAAAGTAAGATATGAAAAATAGATTATAAGTATAACAAGTATGATGTAATAGGAGGTGTCAAAGTTAGTAGTGATAAAAATGACTTTTAATATTAAAAAAATGAAAGTCTTTTCATGAAAACACAAAAAAAAATGATGAACAGTTTTTGGTAAACGGATAGATCGAGTAATTAATAGGATGGATGTAGAATTTCTTTACTACTCCCTACGTTCCACAAAACCCTTCCTTTTTCGTTTTTTTTTGCTTTCACTTTCTATTAAAAAACCACTTTTACCCTTCATACCCTACCTATCGCACCATACTTTTTCACTAATAACCAAACTATCACATCTTACTTTTTCCCATCACATCAGGGGCAAAATTGGAAAGTCAACCAAAATAACACTTTCTTTATTTTTCTCCAAAGTCAAAAATGGAAGGGTTTTGTGGAACGGATGGAGTATTTAAATTTTACTCCCATCTTAGAAGGAAAAGTAATTAAAAAAAATAAAGGGTTATTTAAGCAATAAAAAATAAAGGGTTATTTAAGCAATAAAAAAATAAAGGGTTATTTTCCATTCTCTCTTATTTCTCTTCTCCTTCCCAAACGCATTATATTATATGCACTCGCCATTCTAATTTCTACTCTTTATTTTCTTTTTCATTCTTATTTATTGTACTCGGATATTAGGGATTGTTGTTCCACCAATTTCTTCCAAGAATATTGTCAAACATATCACGTCACCCACCCACACACACACACACACACACACATATATATATATACCCACACATACACATTCACAATTGCCACATCCTTACAAACCCATTTTCATCCAATAAAATAATACTCACTTATAATATTAATTTCCTCCTCAACGGTATACACTAGCAAGTTTTTTTTTGTTTGGATTACATATCAACTCTTTGCAATATATATATGTTGCAAACCATGACAAAAGGGGGACTCCAATTGTTTGGGGTTCTTCTTGTTCTAGTGGTATGCCTGGCGGCGGCGGCGGAGGGCAAGAACGTCATTTACAAGGACCCGAGAAAGAACACGGAGTCCCGGGTCCGGGACTTGCTGAGTCGGATGACGTTGGAGGAGAAAATCGGTCAAATGGCTCAGATTGACCGGGCGGAGGCGACGGAGGAGATCATGAGGGACTATTCCATCGGCAGCGTGCTGAGCGGTGGCGGGAGCGTGCCGAGGGAGCGAGCCACCGTGGAGGACTGGGTTGAGATGGTGAACCGGCTCCAGACCGGTTCGGTTTCGAGTAGGCTTGGGATTCCCATGATATATGGGATTGATGCTGTTCATGGGAATAACAATGTCTACAAGGCTACCATCTTCCCCCACAACGTTGGTCTTGGTGCTACAAGGCAAGTATTTCTTCCTAATTACTCACACCCCTCATTTTTTCTGGGCATTAAAAAAATATCTGACACGTTAACATTATTTTAAAACATTTTTTTATAACAAAGTACTGTTAACTCCTTCTGTTTTAAAACTATCTTCTCGTTTGTGTTTACGAGGTTTGACCGACTTTATTTTCAATTCAATTTATTTGATTGTAAGTGTAAAATTAAAAAATAAAATTTATATATTCAAAATCTACATAAAAAGTTCTACAAAACAAGGGGTGACAAAACTATATTATTTTATCAAATAACTAACAAAAATAGATAAAGAAAGTGATTTTAGTTTGACCGTGTGAATAGTAACTGAGAAGATAGTTTTCGGATGGAGGGAGTATTTAAGTGAAAATATACAAATAAATTTTTTTTGTTTTAGTTCACAAATAAAGTTACATCAATCATTTCAAAAACTTCAATCTTAACTAAACGGCTACGTTTGGGTTTACATAGTTATTTTAGCTATAACTACTACTGGAGTAGTATATAGCATTTGTTAGGTGTGTTTGGCAATTGCTACATTATAGGAGTGCTATTGGTTGAGGTTTTGTGGGGAAAAATATACTTTTTCAATTAGTGTTTTAGCATCTTAGATAATTTTTTAGTAAAACAGATTAATTTTGAAATAAAACTAAACGCTGCTGCCCTTTCAAAACACTGAAATTGTTGCCAAACGGGTCTTGAAAAAAAATATTTTGAATCATAAGAGGTGTTTGACCTTTACTTTAACCAGTTATTGAAGATAAAAAATTCTGATCAAATGCCACGTTCTCTTTAACTTATTATTACGGAGTACTATTTTTTCATCTTCATAACCTTTATTTATTTACGTGTTTGTTTGATAATTTGATAAAATAAAATAGTTAAGCCATCTTTTCTTTTGTAAAATATTATATTTCACGTTCTTTAATATTTACGTTTTTATTTTTTCATTTCAATACTAGTTTGAAAGTGATTGATGATTAAAGTTCGTCTAGACTAAAATGAAAAGGTAAGTGTTAAATTGTTAAAAATTGTCAAATCTATTTGAGCAAGATTCAAGTTATACTTGAGCAAATGTGGAAGATAGAGAGTGATACTCTTTTGTTCCACTTGTTTCGTGACTGAGAGAGATAAAATGAGAGGAAATAATTTCCGATTGATTTCGAAATAAATTTTTCATTCTCTGGCACCCCTGTCCCCCACGCACGCCCCAGCCCCCGTCCAGCCCTTCCCCTCTAACCCCCCTACTGCCCTCGACCATCCCACTGCTATCGCCCCCTACCCCCTAGGCATCTACCACCCCCTACCTCGGCCCCACATACACTATCACCCTCGTCCAACTCCACCCTGCCACCCAACTCCNAACATCTTTTTTAATATTAATGTTTAAATATGAACAATAGAACTGTGTTTTTAAGTAAAATTCACCTTCCTACCAAACAATGAAAAATACCATTGATAATATTTTAATTTGTTAACCAACCAAACAAAACTTTAAAAATAATAAATGTGAAATCTTTCTGGATGGACTTCTTCACCAACACCAAACTACCAACGACAGCCCAAGTTACAATTTACGGAAACGTGAAGTAACATCTTCTTGCTTTGAAAACGATTGGCAAATTTTGTCTAAAGAAAATTTTTCATATACAACGTGAACTAACATCTTTCTCGCTTTGAAAAGTAACATCTTCTCACTTGTAATTGTTTTGCATACTTTTTATATATACACATTTATCTCATGTTGTACATCCCTCCACCCTAAAACTTCTTTCTCGTTTTGATTTACGAGGTTTGACACCGTAAACTGCAATGGGACAATTTTGAAGGAATGTTATAGAAATATTTGCACTAAAACTTAAATCATTTTCCTAAATAACACTTAAACAGTCTTATTCCCTAAATAGCACTTAATAATGTCCATAATGTTCAGTGATGATGAATATATGCTTGAATAATGACTAATGCATAATGACTAAAAGTGCCATTTAAGTAAATTCCTCATGTTATATTCCTTTTTTCGTACTAAAATAAAAATGACACTTTTAATTATCACTATTATAAAATAAACTGCAACCTTACATCAATCAAATAAGAAAAAATTCAAAATACATACTACGTATTAAATACTTTTTCCGTCCCAAAATAAGATCTCCGTTGTGTAATTGAAGTTACTCTCAATATAATATTTAAAAATTGGTGTAAACACTAAAAATTAGATTATATATTTTAAAATGACGTCAAATATTTTACAGAACTAGTTACGGAGTATGACCTAACTAATTTATTATACCAAAAAAAAATCGATAAAAATATTTAAAGAAAGATAAACTTTGATCATTATTTTTTATATATAGAATAAATGTTATTTAGCTATAAAAAAAATCCATAAATTCTTAGGTGGACCTTACCTGGCCAATTTACCAAAGGCCAGTTTGGAAAAACGTTTTCGATTAGCGTTTGTATCTTTGATAAAATTTTAACAGTGCGGATTAACTTCGAAAACACTAACGCTAAAGGCTACCCGTAGATAGCCTTTTAAAAATGCTAATGCTAATCTCTAACAATATTCCCAAACAGACTCCAATCCACTAAAATGGGAGTTAATTTATTTAATTTTATTTTTAATAATTTTCTCCACTATTTGCTAATGTATTTTAATAGGGGCCACATATAGTCTTTTATTTTTTAAGTCTATTTTTAAGAGTATTTATAGTCTTAATTAATTACACTCTTGCTCTTACACTTATTTTGTAGGGAATATTAATTAATTGACATTTTTGATCTGGGTGTTGCTAAATGTATCCTTAAATGGCTATATCCACGCATTTCAACTTCTCTTGTTAAATTTACACCTACTAATATAACTTAAATATTAGTAGGAATTTAGCAAAATTTGATGAACTTATAATATAACCATTTAGGGAATGAACTTGATATCACCCTTTTGATATACAATATACATTAATTACGTAGGACTGTATTCAATAAATGTTTTCTATTAAAGCTAGAAAGAGATATCTAGACGCAAGTGATGTGATGAAAGTGATATATCAGCACTTGTTTTCAATTTTTGGTACTTTGTGAACATTAAGACTACTCGACATATACAGATATACTACGTATATCCATAATATGGCAACTATCCAAGCACCCAAAGATTTTACTCCAAGAATTTTATTGGTTTCATATACTCCATATATTATTTATTTATTTGTATGTTCAAATATGATCGCTTCAAACCTTGCACGTGAAATCTTAATTTTTTTAAAAAACTAGATGATAACAATTTTCAAACTTGTGATCTGCTTCTTGGTCAACAAAGTTATGATATCACGTCAATGAACTAACTCAACCAAAAACTTAAACTTGTAGTTAAAAGTTCAAAAATGTCACCGGGTTTTTACCTTGTTGGAAAATAAACATTACTACATTTCTTTCCAAAAAAACACAAGTAACTTAGATTTATCTTCTCTGTTTTTTTTTTTCATGTAGGGATCCTCAACTAGTAAAGAAAATTGGTGAGGCAACTGCTCTTGAAACTAGGGCCACCGGCATCAATTATGCTTTTGCTCCATGTATCGCGGTATATTTATATGATTACATATATTTTTTTAAAAAAAAAATATTACAATTTACAAACAAGTTCGTATATTTTTAAGAATTACGTACTTACCCTTCCGATTTGAATGGGGAAAAACGAATAGGTGTGCAGAGATCCGAGATGGGGAAGGTGCTTCGAAAGCTACAGTGAAGATCCCAAAATCGTGAAAGACATGACCGATATCATCCTTGGCTTGCAAGGGGATGTTCCCCAGGACTACCCCAAATCCTACCCCTATGTTGGTGGCAAGTGAGTTGTTTTATGGAAGAAAAAACACTCGGGAAACCCCACTTTTGACACCAAAGACAAACACAGACAATTACTTGCCACTGTGTTCATTGTTTCATTCGATACATAATATTGGTCGTGTATGTGTAGGACGAAAGTGGCAGCTTGTGCAAAGCATTTCGTGGGGGATGGTGGGACGGTGCACGGAAAAGACGAGAGTAACACGGTGATAGACTGGGAAGAGTTGCTGAGGATTCATATGCCGGCGTACTACCCTTCCATCCTCATGGGTGTCTCCACCGTCATGGTTTCCTACTCTAGCTTGAATGGCGAGAAGATGCACGCGAACCGTGTTCTTGTCACCAACTTCCTCAAAGGAACCCTCAACTTCAAGGTCTCTTCATATATTGCATTATATTTTTATTAAATATGAAGAATGGACATCAAATTTCTAACATATGAATACAAGAAAGTGGATAGCTAAATCGACACGAACGAATGACAATGACATGATGTATTGCTTAAGATACACCATTGTTGTGATGAAAATGGTGTCTTATGGTCTTTTTTTGGGTTTTTGGTTTTTCTTTGGTAGGGTTTTGTGATTTCAGATTCAGAAGGGATAGATAGAATCACAAATCCGCCGCACTCAAACTATACGTACTCCGTTTTAATGGGTGTTGGAGCTGGAATTGACATGGTACGTAATATTTCCTACTTACCTTTTTGTTTTTGAAGTAATCAATTGCTTGTAGTAATTGTTTGGTTGGTTGGTTGCAGGTTATGATCCCCAACAACCACACCGAGTTCATAGACACCCTAACCTACTTGGTGAAGAACGGATTCATCCCCATGGACCGGATCGACGACGCCGTGACAAGGATCTTGAGGGTCAAATTTGCAATGGGCCTGTTCGAGGATCCATGGGCCGATCTAAGCCTCGCCGACCAGCTCGGAAGCAAGGCCCACAGAGATTTGGCAAGGGAGGCAGTGAGGAAATCACTGGTGCTGCTCAAGAATGATGGGCCTTTGCTCCCACTACCCAAAAAGGCAACAAGAATCTTAGTGGCTGGGACTCATGCTAACAATATAGGCAATCAATGTGGTGGGTGGACTATCACCTGGCAAGGCAAGAGTGGCAACATCACTACAGGTACAGAGTTTTGAATAATTTTTTAATGATGCAAAAAAAAAACTAAAATTTTACCGCTCGACAGTTTTTTCAAAACTACGGGACGAGGGAAAAAGACTAAACTAGAAACAAAACATAGAGAAGGTACCAAAAGAGTTCCATGTTTTTATTCCCAAAACGGAAGTTACAGCCAATAATGTCAACATATAATATCAAAAAACACTGTGGAATGCCAACATACAGTGTCACATTGTGACAGTGCAAACTTTTATTTTGGGGAAAAACAGGTCACTTCTGTTTTGATATTTTCTCTATGTTTTACCCTTATTTTGGGTGATTTCTTAAGCGACTACTTGTTCTGCGTCATGCAGGCACCACAATATTAGAAGCCATTATAAGCGTCGTGGACCCGACCACGGAAGTAGTGTACAATGAGAACCCGGACGCGGAGTTCATGAGATCCAATGAATTTTCATATGCCATTGTGGTCGTGGGAGAATATCCCTACGCCGAGTACGACGGGGACAGCGCAGACTTGACCATCCCCGAGCCGGGTCCCGCCACCATCACCGCCGTATGCGGCAGCGTCAAGTGCGTGATGGTGCTCGTCTCTGGCCGGCCGCTGGTGGTGGAACCCTACCTCCCCTTGATGGATGCTTTTGTCGCGGCATGGTTCCCCGGGAGCGAAGGACAAGGAGTGAGTGATGTCTTGTTTGGGGACTACGAGTTTACCGGGAAGCTACCGAGGACATGGTTCAAGACGGTTGATCAACTCCCTATGAACGTCGGTGACTCACACTATGATCCACTCTTTCCATTTGGGTTTGGCCTCACGGCGACACAGCCTATTGCAGATTCATGAGTCATATATGTGTGTGTGTGTGTGCGCGCATGCTAAGGGAACCTAAACATAATACTCATTCATGCATGGGAAGTGTATCTAGTTGGCGCTAGTTTGGCATAAGGTGTGCGGTGGAATGGATCGAAATTTTTTTTCTCGACATGTTCCGAATATGTTGGAATGAATAAGGGTTAGTATTTCGGATGTGCAGAATGTAATATATTCATACAGACATTCTGAAATATGAATCTCATGAAATACTTAGTGGGATAACATTGTTGTGAGAAGTATATAGAACATATAGTGGTATTGAAACACTTTGTACACAGAACTACTCAGAATACAAGGTTTGAATTTAATGCATCTCAAAATTCTTCTTCATATCTTTCTTGCAAATGAGAATGATGCACGATTGCTATCTAACTCAATGTTGCTATTTGTTTGGGACGCATCATGATCATGTATGCCATGTTTTAAATTAAGAGCACAAAAAAAGTGTAAATGGGGAAAAATAGAGTTTTATTACCATCCGACAGTTATTAGTGATGCAAAGCTAAGATTTAATTTCAGATGCACTTTAAGTGTTTGAGTATTAGATAAATTCACATGCTAGGAACTTAATCTATTCACATTTGAGTAGTCAAACACTTACGATTGAACAGAGTTATTCGAATTCGAGTAGTCAAAAACTTACAGTTGAACAATGATATTTGGGGGAGGCAAAGGATTGTTGGAAGACAATTGTTCCAAAGGCTCATCCAAATTCTGAATCATCCTCCAGAGGGCTCACCAAAGGTAGCTAGGGCCACACAATTCTCCCTTGCAGTCCAACAACACATGTAAAAAAAGAATGTTTCAATTAATTTATTAGGACTATAAGATATAAGCTTAGGATATGTGATTTATATATTTCATCAAGAAAGATATTATTCTTGAAAACTCGGCTTCTACATATACAACCCAGTATAATCCGAAACTCCGTTGGATCCAAGGGGTCAAGATGTACACAATCTTGCCCTCTAATAAACAAAGAGCTTGTTTAGTTTCAATCAGATCCCTGGTGCATTGTTGCATTTACTTCCCAAAACTTGATATTAAAATGAGAAGCAAAAGAAGTTTAATGTGACATTTTGATTTAGGGACTTCAATATGCAGCTAGCACAATACTGGTAAAGTCAAGTAAGCTTGGGAACACAGTCATGGGCATGCGAGACATGAGAACAACTCAAGTATTAATGTAAGATTTTGAGGGACGACAAAGTTTCTCTAAACAAAAGGGAACAAAAAATTCTGGGAAGAATTAAAAATTGCTGTGGACAAGCCCAATTGCCCACAGCACCCTAACATATTGTGGGTAATGCAAAAAAAAAACTTACTTAGAAGGGCATGAAGTTGGATTCAAAATTTGATGTCTGACTCTCAAGGCTGTGCCTAGCTGCAGAACTAAAAGCAGCCATCTTATCTGACAAGTTTTGAATCGCTTCACCCTTATCGGCCAATTTCATAAGAACCTTGATCCTCTTAAAAGAAACATTGCTAGGTTTATGTCCCATCTCCACCATTTGCAAGAAACACGTCTCTGCCTCTTCTAGCATTCCCAAATCACAAAGCAAATCAAATAGAACATCAGATACCAATGTATACGAGCCAAACCCTTTCTCAACCATGTCATTCCACAACTCGAGAGCCATCTCTGCATTCTCATGTCTCATAGTCAATCTGATCAAGAACATACAGGATTGCGTGTTTGGCAAGCACCCGTTCTCCTTCATCTTCTGGTATAAACTCCATGCACGTTTCAAATCATTTGCCAGATGAAATGATCTTAAGAACACATTATAGGTAGTTGCATTAGGGTCCAACCCTTGCTTCACCATCTCATCTACCAGTTTAAACGCATCCCCAATCCTATTTGCAATGCAAAAATTTCTAATGGCAGCATTATAAGCAGCAACATCAGGGTAACATCCGTACTCTCGCATCTCTGTCAAAACTTTCTTTGCCTTATCTGGTTGCCCCACAAGCCCTAGACCCCCAATCAAACTCGTGTATGTGATTACATCCGGATCAATATCCCTCTCCCTCATTCCCTTCACAACCTCAAACGCCTTGTCAACCTGTCTCCCCTTGCAATAAACATCAACCAAACAATTGTACGAAACGACATCTGGATCCACATTATGCTCCCTCATCTCTGAGAAAAACTCCTCAGCCTCCTCTGATGATTTCCAACCTGACAAAAGTATGTTAAAGGTCTGCAAGTCAGGCTTAAAGTCCCGCTTCAAGTTACGGTACACATTCCTAGCACTCGACATGCACTTTTCCTGACACAGCGACCTCAACAGAGCATTGAAACAACGGGTGTCGAACTGGGGAACGAATTTCTTGAGCTTCCAAAAGGACTCAACTGTCCGCGAAACAGAACAGACCTTAGCCAACCTGGCTAAAACCACTTGAACTGTTCTTGAAGTAATCAAAGACTGGTCTTTTCTCTTCATTTCCTTTAAAACCTCCCACACTTCATCAAATCTCCTATCTCTACCAAGAATATACAGCATAGTGTCATACGAAAAAGCAGAATGGAAAAACTCGCGTCTCTTTGAAGTAAATTTGAAAAATTCCAGGATGAGTAATGGGTTAGAGTGAGAGAATCTTGCCCTTTTCAGAACACCATCAATCGTTTCACTGGATATGGGAATCTGAGAGGATTTCAGCGACTGTTTCATGTCATCAGGAGTTCTTGCTGTAGTGACGATGCGGAAGATAGTATCTACGTCTTCATTATGAAGAGGAGGGTAGGGATTACTATGGAGCAGGCGCCAAATTGCGACAGGAAAAGATTGGACGCTTATAATTCTAGATGAAATTGAAGTGAGGTTGAGTGAAATAATCATAGTTACCTTCGAAATTGAGAATGGTGAAGTGAAATTGAAAAATGGGTCGTAAAGGGGAAGTCTGTAGGCAACTGAAGTGATAATTGACGCGGCGGAAGCGGCGAGCATGTAGTTTGCTGGGCGGCGGCGGCGACAGGGAACGTGGAGGAAGATGAGTTCACAATCGCCGGCTTGTTAAGAGAAATAAGAGTTCCCACCGATCCCCCTGGTCCTGCACTCCTGCAATCCTGCTAAGCCAATGTGTGATCGATTGTTTAAGTCATTTTCTATTTATTTTTTTTACTTATTATTTTTTATTAGAATTAGATCAGATCAAAATAGTTTTAAATATAATTGCATTTAGATAAAAATTTATTCCATTCAGATCAGAATTAATCAGATTAGGTAAGGAGAATACGACCTTAGGAGTGCATATATTGTACATGAACTATGGCACAGCCGGCCGGGTATTACTCATTTTGTGTTACACTACCGGGGGATACAAATATTGGGCCAGAGTTGGAAGATGTTCGGAACGAAGATGCGAGTGTTCGGGCCGAGAGTGAACGTGAAGGAAGCATTGGGCCAAGGCGTTCTAAACGGATCCCCAAACCCCCGGCAAAATTAAATGATTACCTTTATTAAATTATTCATTGTAATTTAGATTTTTATTAGGTGAGCAAAATATAAGCTCCTTCGAGG